AGGGAGAGAAATTTCTGACCCTTGTTCCAAAGATGCACATTGAGTCAACTATTAATATGCAAGATGCAGTGTGTTATAGTTGCAGCCTTACTCTAAATAAAAAAAAAATCTTTAGGATACACATCCCTTCAGATTTGTAGGACATCGTCGTAGGAAACCTTTGCATCTTGACCTGAATTTAAAACAAAGGTTTGTGGGTTGGAACAGAGCTTGTCTGCACAACATGAGTCATATTGATGGACCTGCCAGTGGGTCCATTGACCTGTGGAGGTTAAAAAATGTATTCCAGTTTGCTCAGCCTCTGGTACAGTACATGTATATAGTCTTGGGTTTTTTATAAATGTTGTTCACATTCTACAGATAAACAACGAGAATACAGAGTGAGACTTTGGACATCCAAACGGCTGAGGAGTCCTTCCTTACCTGCGAGAAAGAAAAAAAAAAAAATACATGGCTCTGGGTCTGACTAGGAGTTTCAGTAGCTGTTGAGTCAACTCCAAAGAGTTCATCCAAACACTGTTTGACAACCCCTGTGTGCCTTGGATAATTTGTTAGCACCGGCTGCAGACAGGAAACACAACTTTAGTTTAAATAAATGAAAACATGGGGTCAGCTGTAGGTTATTCTGCCCTGTAGCGCTTCAGTTATCCCTTCAATCACAGCCCCTTGTAAACATATTTGTGGCTCTATGCTGTATGAGCGCGTTTTAGCTTCAAGGTATATTTTTTTTGTTTTGTACTTTCAGCCTTTTATTCCCCAGGTTTTCAATTGCAGTTTAGGGATATTTAACACTATAAATGATAAACAGCTACTTGTTATCTGTCAGTTATTTCACATCAGGCTAAATTACTCATATGCCACAAACCACCTCGGGCTGTTCATGAATGTAAGACTGATCTTCAATTGGGGTTAATGCCAATTTAAATACTTTGAAGCCAGATTTACTCTCAAGGCATGTCAGTATCTGCACTCTTACTATGGGTATAGCCTCATGAGTTATTATCATGTGCCTGACTGTGCTGGCCATAGGAGTAATGAGCACTAAATTGTTAATGTCTGCTTGATTTTTAAGACTACTTGTTTAAGTAGCATAAATAGGTAGACATGCTTAAAATATGGAGTAAAATCACAACACATTAGGGACCGGATGAAACCTTTTGGCATGAGAAGGCCAGATTTAATCTTACTCATTACAAATGCAAGCGCTGACACAACCTTATTTATATTTTCATTGGATCCCTCCCTTGACCTAAAACTCCCAATATCTCAAAATATATAGCATTGAGTTGCTAATTTCACTATTAAAAGTTTAAAACATGCAAATCACGAATAAAATGCTGCAAACATAAATAAAACAAGCACAATATATTAATGGAATCATAATTTTTTACAACAGCTGTCAATGTGGTGATTAGAAGGAAAATTAACAATTTGCTAATACCACAATAAAAGCATAAATATTCCAGTTACTTGCTGCTTTTGAAGAAAGAGATACTAAATAAAACACTAAACTTGAAATGTTTCGGGAAATTTTATGACACGTAATTTTATTTTAATGATCCTGACTGGGGGGAACGTAAAGGTAACATTTAATCACTGATATCCGTGCAGATCAAAATATATTCTATGTTTCTCATAACTGACATAGTCTGTGGAAGGAGAAATTAAACCCCCAAGAAGTCCAAGAATCCCCCCCCCCCTCTCTTCTCAGGGCAAAGGCTTAAACATAAATTTAGGATGAGTAGAAATTAAAAAACCATCCATGCTCTAAAAAAAAATATCAAACTACCTTCCCTTCAGCAAAAAGAAAAAAATAAACCCATAGCCATCACCTTTTCCAACACTCCCTCTGCCCCTAATAATTTGTGAGAAAGCTGAATTAAAATCTACGTAAGAGGATCTCCAAATGAGCATGTTCATGGCTGCAAAAGCATTAGATGTTATAGTTCTTAATGCATAAAACAAGCTCAATGTAGCCAATCAACCATATCATTGTTGTAATTGTCCAAAATTCAGTGCACCATATGGCAACACAACAAAAGGAGTTAGCAGCAGAATCAGTAATGTGAAATCAAGGGTGACGTCATAACCGACTGGTGGAACATGAGCAAGCGTCATTCATTGTGTTCACCAGGCAGCCATTTAGCTGCACAGCTGAGTCATTACATTGCACTGTGAACACAGCTGGTGTAACAGTGATTAATGCACATCTTTGAAGACGTCCTAAAACTTTTAAGGGGCAAATGGTGACGTGACAGACGGATTTAGCCACAGTAAATACAACAGGAAAGAATCCTGCTGAAATCACACCAAAACAGCGAGGCTGTAGTGTGGACATCATCCTTACCATAAATGTTCAGATCAGATTTTGAGGCAAACACTTCCTATGCTATTCCACAGTCACTCCCGAAACAAAACCCAAGTGGTCCCACAGGCCCTGTCATTGTTTGACATGCCTGCTGTACCCGTCTTCCGCTCCGCTGCAAGTGTTGAGGATATGAAGGTGGGCACCGAGGGGGCCCCCCGACTATCCCCCATCGGCAAAGGGAGTCAAGTCGAAGGCCTGAGCCAGACCGAAGCAAGCGCAGACATATTGTGCCAATAATTTATGGCTGATACAGCGTTCATTTGAAATTAAGATGAAACACGAGGAGCTTCCCCACATGTAGGGGTATCTCATTAAACAGCGCGGCCCTCTCCGTGTGTACAATGTTCCGTCTTGACTTGCGATTCAATGTTTTGAGTCGTGCTTATACATAAATTCAAATTCTTTTGGAAATATTGATCTTGAGAGCGGGAGATGGTCCCAAGGCACTGAAATGTTGTGCTGTGCGGTGTTTCATAGCATCAGGCAGATCCTCAATTCCCATCAAACTATTACAGCAAGATTCCACTTATGTAAATTCTAAACAGCCTGCTATTAGTATCTATTTGATCTGTTTATCGTGTCAAGACAAAACCGACTGGGTTATTCCCACAGCTGAATGTTTACTTGTTTTTACTGTCTGGCAACAAATATCAACCACTAAAGTTTGTTTGTCAGGTCTAATTTGGCTTGTAGAAACATTGCATCTTTGCTTCCCAGTGTCCTTGGTGTTATATCTAAGAGCTGCCACCCCTCCTTCCTCCCCCCACCGCCAGCCCTCCCCTCCTGTGCCAACACATCAAGTGAAGGCAGCCTGATCAACCCTAATAGGGCCTGGTAATTAGAGTCTTTGCATAGAGCCTGTCTGTACGCAGCTGCCCTAAGCAGGTTGGAGAAGGACTGCCATACACTTGACAGCGTGGAAAAAACAATGTAATGTTCGGTATATGGACCAAATTAGCCTGGCAGTGGTAAACACAATCTACTTTAAAACAATACTGACACTAATTAGGCAAGCAATGTATCATTTCAGAGTTCAAGTTTTAGTTGCCGCATCAAATACTTGAAAATACTTTGAGAGCCAACTTGATGTTTCGCGAATACAAATTAGAAAAACCTTTCTGTGTAAAAGGCCAAGCACAGCCGGCACTGGGGCCAAAAAAAAAGAAAGAAAAAAAGAGCTGTGCTTGATATGTCTACTGTTGTATAGTATCTACAGTGGAAAATGGAATCTTGATGAATGCACTGGATTTACACAAAACACTGTGTGATGGAAGTGAAACAGAAACAAGCAAGAAATTGTTTAAAACTTAAATTCTTTGCAGTTACCTAAACCTACATAATTAGTTTTCATTTTGATAGTTTATCTTTACTAGCAGCTGCTGTACATATACAAATTATTATCACAATCTACTATATAACAAACTTGGCTGAAGACAACAAAGTTAAGCAAAATGTTTAAGCTTCACATTTCTCCACAGGAAACAATAAAGACATGACATTTTGGATGAAAGAAAAGTGATTTGGGGAAGGGGGGGAAGCAACTTCCTTCATTAGGGATGCAACCCTTGTCACACTAAATCTCCCCACGCTACGGTCTTATTATGAAAAGTCCAAATAGCTTGGATCATGCATTTTAAAACCACAGTCAGGCAGAGGATGGCAGCACCTTATGAAAAATAATCTTGAGTCATTTGTTAAAATGCAAAATCGTTTCAGAGAGTGCATAGCTAATAATTTCATGTGGCACCAAAAAGCTGGTTTGTGTCTCTGCTATTATGAGTGAACTGAATGGACGACTTTCTGCGGCGACCACTCCCTATCCCAAGTTTTGCAATTTCTCCTTTTCACTAGTTTCATTTTATTTATTTTTGTGATGGTACATTTCCATTTCTGACACAGCATTTCTCTGAATGTTGATGAGAGTTGTCAGAGCGGTGGTATCATGCATAATGTAACTTGCAATAAACTTCTTTTACCTCATGTAGATGTGTTGAATTCCAACCTACAGTGAGACATCTTTACTTTTTTTTTTTTTTGTATCCAAACCAACAAGTATAAAGCATTTATATTGTGTTTAGTACCTTCTTGCATGTGTAAATATACATTTCTGACAAAGTTTTGTGCCTTGAAGCTGCTCTGTGCAACCACATCATTCTACTTTTGGCAACTGAGCAGCCGCCACTGGAGCAGTTAAAGTAAAATGTAGCACCCGGTGGTGTGTTGTTTAAGGTGGGGCAAGGTCTTAAATTATATTTACTTGTTCCCAAATGGTGATATTAACATGTAAACAGATCACAGATTTAGTAGTTTTTTGTGTTAAATTTTAATTATTATTTTTTTTAACAGAAAGTAATGATTGCTAAACAGTCACTCCAGCCTATTTGCATAATTTCCCTTAACTAAAATAATATTATCAAATTATTTTTAATGCTTGGTTCATTCATTAATTAATCAGATTTTTGCCCACCTTGATTTGGTCTGACTGTGCACATGATTTCCAAGTGTCAGGGTTGCGTCTGCCTCTGGGATGTAGAAACTTGCTGTAGCTGCTGAGTGTCTGATTCGCTGCATCTGAACGCACTGAATCTGCTCCCACAATTCAACAGGCAACAAAGGAAGAAAGGAAGAGGCCGTGAGCTACAAAGTGCTAGCCAACCTAGACTGAGAGATGTCACCTTATTGTGTCATTCTAGCCGCTAACATAGACCCGTACGTTTAGAGAAGTACCAAATCCGGCCACATAAACGCTTCATGCTTTCGTTTTGGGTGCAGAAGCGGACTAAAGGGAAGGTAACGGCAATGTTTTCGACAGAAAACGCTAACAAAGCTACTAGCTGACTGGCTTAGGTAGTAGGTTAGCATTAGCCGAGCTTACGTTAGCCAACAATCGTCAAGGAGCGCACCTTTCATGAACGTGTTGTACGAGATAAACGCTGACGCCTTTGCGTTGTTTTGCCCAGTGTTACGAGCAGAAGTGAACAGGTAAGAGACAACACCGAGCACGTTTTAAAAACATGTTTGTACCCCACAAATGTACTTTAAAAGTAGGTTTGCTAACACACTCACTGATTGTTAGCATTTCGTGTTAGCATGCAACCATCACAACATATGTTAAATTGGCAAGCTGTGCTGGTTAACTTTATTGTTTCTAATGCTTATAATTGTAAACTGCACGAATTAAATAGTTACTGGACGTTGCGTTTTTAAATATTGCTGTTAAAGGGGAAAAAAGCAGAAAAGACAACACAAGCGGAGCTAAGCTAAAGGCATGCTGTTGTGTCCGTAGGCCTTCACAGGTCAGAAGAAACCTGGCTTACTTTGGGTTTATTATGGTTGCGTTAAGTGATTATACATGTGCATAGTATATGTATTTCTTCAGTAAAGTTGCGTGTTAATCAGAAGTGTGGAACTTTTAAAAACGAGCTGGCTTTGTTTTTCATAGCATCAAATGAAAGGTGGTGGAGGTGGAACTTGACCCAAGCAACTGAGTCACCATTTTCCTGCACATAATGGTGAGTAATCAGATTGCAGCTGTCTTGATTATCTAGCAGCTTTATTTGGGTGCTTTAAGTGGCACATGTCTCTGGTTACTGTTGTGTTGGTTTGCCAGAGCAGTCATAGCTTTTTGACAGATGAAAAAGCAATGATGGGCATTCATTTAAGAAGACCATGACTTTCACATGATATGGTTTGGGAATATTTGGCCAGTGACACATTTATTTAGCTCTGTAGCCATGAACATTGGACTTAAAATGAAATAATGAGTGTGAGCTATAAGTGCTGGCTATCAGACTTAATGGTATGTGAAGATTTTCTATATCTATACTGGGGGGAGCAGTGTGTGTATTGTTATGCATTGTCCATAGAGAACAATGCAGCAGAGCAGTGATCCCAAATGCACTGGTAAAGACAAACGAGGGCAAAACGGTGTCAGCATCACCAGGGAACATCCTGCCATCTCTTCATGCATGTGGATCACAGAGCAGTCTATGATAACAAAGATATGATTTGTCATGTCTGCGTAATTAGTGTGATTAATTCTATACCACTACAAATGAAGAGTGTGTGTTAAGGGCCACATACATCATTTCAATGTACTGTGATATGTGTGTTAATAGGCAATATTATGAACATACTCTGTGCAAAACTCTTGACGTATTTCCACCAAACAAAGAATATCTTGTGTTTTTCTTTCTAAAGGGTTCGATGGCTCCACTGTATGCATGACTTGTTTCGTGTGGCCTGATGGGAGGACACTGTGGATAGTACTTTCATCAGGATACGAGGAGAGCCATCCCATGCCCCCACTTTGGAGGGCCTGTCAGAATGAAGAAGATAAGCCTTAAGACCATCCGCAAGTCCCTCAGCATAAAGGGCAAAGAGGAGGGTGACTTTGTCATGCTCCAGCAGCCCTCAGTGACTACAGAGTTTTCTAAGGAAGAGTCACTTTTTGGGGGCTGCTACACCAAAGAGCTTTCTGGCTGTGACCTTGGTGGTGAAGAGGAGAAAGGAGGCCAGAACAAGGGCCGCTCAAAAAGTGAGAGCCTGATGGGATCTTTAAAGAGGAGGCTGTCTGCCAAGCAGAAGGTGAAAGTGAAAGGCGGCTCGTCAGCCATAGGCTCGGTGGATGACGATGACACCTTCTCATCCTCTTCTGTGCCTATCAGCTTCAATGAGGTGAAAGCCCAGAGACCCCTTAGATCTGCATCCTTACGGAGTCACCATTATAGCCCCTCACCATGGCCTTTGCGGTCAGTCAACTCCGATGAGGCGTGTATCAAAATGGAAGTTAAAGTTAAAGCCATGGTTCACTCTCCTAGCCCGAGTCCCAACTTAAATGGTGTCCGGAAAGAATTTCATGATTTCCAGATGGAAGGGCTCTTTCAGGACCAAGCAGAGTCCTTAAAGAATCTCCAGCAACCGCAAAATGGTGAGCTTCATCTAAATATTGATGAAAATGACGTGCCTGTCGTGCTGGGGTTGACGCCCCAGGACTACATCCAGTACACAATGCCTTTAGATGAGGGAATGTACCCGGAAGGGTCCCACTCCTTTTGCCTGGACAGCTCCTCTCCTATGGAGGTGGTGACAGAGGCAGACAACGGGTCCCTCCACACAGACCAGGGACAGGAGGAACATGAACTGGTTAGTGGAATGCCTCCGGATCTCTTTATGGAAACCTCAGTTAATAGTATTCTTATCGGTTCTGCTGGTGTAATGCTCCAAAGCTCCAGAGTAGAGGTTCCGCCTCCCCTCTCTCCACTCTTGCCACCCATGACAAGTAATGGCCGTATCCCCAGGACTTTTTCGGGCTTTAGTTCTTCAGACAGCCAGGTAGCTGAGAGGGTAAGGCACCACCTCAACTTTGACCCAAATTCAGCTCCTGGGGTCAGTCGAGTATACGACTCGGTCCAGAGCAGCGGGCCCATGGTTGTGACCAGTCTTACGGAGGAGCTGAAGAAGCTTGCGAGGCAGGGCTGGTACTGGGGTCCCATTACACGCTGGGAAGCAGAGGAAAAGCTGGTCAATTTAGCTGATGGTTCATTCCTGGTCAGAGACAGCTCAGATGACAGGTACCTGCTCAGCCTGAGTTTCAGATCACAGGGCAAAACTCTCCACACCCGCATCGAACACTCCAATGGACGCTTCAGCTTCTATGAGCAGCCTGATGTGGAGGGACACACGTCAATTGTGGACTTAATTGAACACTCTATCAAAGACTCGGAGAATGGAGCTTTTTGCTATTCCAGGTCTCGCTTACCAGGGTCTGCAACCTACCCTGTCAGACTAACCAACCCAGTATCTCGGTTTATGCAAGTGCGCTCCCTGCAGTATCTTTGCCGCTTTGTCATTAGGCAATACACAAGAATAGACCTGATCCAAAAACTGCCCTTACCCAACAAGATGAAAGATTATCTGCAGGAGAAGCACTACTGAGGACATAGAGACAGGACAGTGGTAGCAATTTGCACTTTTTGTGTTCAGTTAAGAGATTTAAACAAGGTTTACAGGCAACCACAGTTTTGAGATGATTGGTTCTGGTGGCTCTTGGTTTGTGTCCAGGTGACCCTGTCACTGTTCAGTCCTCCATTCCACTGTTCTGGGGTTGTTCGCTGGTTTTAGGAGGCTCTACTTCCAGAAATATAGGCCAGCACATAATCTATTGCAAACATATAGCAGAGTTTTACAGCCAAGTAATCATAGTTGAATACATAAAGTGCAAATATTTTCACTTGTGATGTATGGCTATGTGTAATATCCAGCTGTGCAAGTAGAGCAGATTTTTATCAATTTACTATCTGCATAAATGTTGGGCCAGTGAGAAAAACTAAACTCCACTCTGAATTCGACAAGTTATTGAATTTTTATCCATGAAATTGTACATTTTGAAAATGATTTCAAGATGGAAAGGTATTGCTACATCAAATTTTAAGGTCTCTGCAGGCTGACTAGTTTTGATTGTCTTTTGCTTTTTAACTTTTAAGATGTTACCATCTTTTTCGGCATGATCAGACCACAACATATTTCTGCATTCATACTTTGCAATTAGACAAAGAGAAAGTAAGACTTCATTGTATTTGTGATAATGGCTGACCTATGATGTTCATGATATCCAGATTTGTGCTAATTTACAAAGATAACTAATTGTTTAACTGGTGCAATTGCTTCATAAAGCATTATCTGACCTTATAATGGCATGTGACAGCTGACATACTACAAATACATTTGTGCCTCAGTATTTAAATGGTACTGACTTTATTTTTAGGTTGTCATGTTTGTTACTTTTAGCTATACTGGTGTACAAATATGGACATTAATAGACATGGATATTTACTGGTCAGAAAGTCTTACACTAACCAAAGTAATCAATCAAAGTTGTGCACAAATTTATGAATCGCTTTCAGAGTCAAGTATTTACAACATTAACAAAACTGTAGAGCAATAGACATCCAGAATGTGTCAGTCTGTCAGAGGCTTTAAACAGTTTGGTCCGTGAAGTAGCTTTAAATTGTATGGCTGCATGTAGCCATTATACATTGTGCAAGGTACTCATAATGCTGGATTTTAATGTCGTGCTGTTTGTAGAAACGACACTAAGTTAATGTATAAACCTTTTGGAAATATGTTAACGTTAAAGGTTACATTTTTCTGCATTAGGAATGCTACAAAAACTGCACCGCAGCTCAGGCCTAACAACTTTGTCACTATCTGTAATGCTTGTATCTGCATGTAGTAAAGGCTTTAAGACTGTCAATTAAAGGCATTGTAGAGTTACTCTAAATGAGAGAAGATGTCACGGTAAATGATTGAGAGATTTTGGCTGTGGTGTTAAAACGCAACTTCGATTAAAAAGGCTGTTAAATGCACAGTTGTATTTACCTTTGGCAGTTTATATGTAAAGAAAATTACCCTCACTTAGCCTGCAACTGAAAAGCAGATCTCTAGTCAGTTGACCTGAATCTGTGTGTAGGAATGGCTGTTTTGTAGTCTCTTAATGCCAGCAATGAGCTGGACCCAGATCAAAGGAATCTCGAAAAAAGGGTGTGAGCTTAGGTAAACGGATTTGGGAAAGCCAGGGTTAAGTCCTCCTTGCCATCTTGGAGCGATGCCACAGTTTCAGCATATGACAAAAGTTCAGTCACAGCTGCATGGCATCATTAGTGTTATATGGGTTTTAAGGACATTTGAAAAGAAGCATCGAGTTTTTGCCATTGCTTATTCACATTGACCCCCCAGTCCCCACAGAGCTGCACTACCCCACAGATTATCTCTCTACTGGGCTGTTTGTGCCGGAGTAAAGGGAAGAGCACACAGTATGCTACGCAAGTGCTTTATATGGATACTTGACAGGGAATTGTGTTTTCACATTATGAATGAGCATCTTTTTTTGACATCAGTGTCCTTAAAAGTATTTGGAAAATGGTCTGTCGGACAACTTTGGTAGGTCGTTAGCTCATAGTTCTAGTTTTAGTTAGCTGGAAATGTTGGTGTCCGAGACAGTTACCATGAATCTAGCACAGCAGAAATTAGATAGGAACTTTGAATGGTGTTGCATGTTTAAAGACTTAGCATTTTAAAGCTTTGAGTTGTATAGGAATGAAGGATTTAGGTTGTGCGTTTGGCTGTGTAGAGAGATGTTTTTTTTCTGTCACGAACATTGGCTGGACATTCTGTGTACAAGAAATGTATTTTTCTTTTTAGAATCCTTGAGTGATATTTTTTTTTCTGTTTTGTGACACTTGCCATCTGGGGGATGGGGCTGTACAAAAGGAATGTACGCTTTTTGAGGTATCCATTTTATCTGCCTGCAGACCAGTTTCAGAAAGCATGGGAAACATAAAAACTACATTGACACATTATTTGCACTTGAACATTCTCCATTGACATGCTTGGATCCTTTCCTGCCTAGAGTTGTCCCTCAGATGGCTGTTTTTAAAAAAAGAAATAAAGTCAAACATCTGTCCTTATGTATTCGTATAACTGTTAGATTAAAATGTTTTGTTTTATTCATGTCTGTGGGATATAAAGGGTAAGGCACCAGCATCATTTCAAAGCCTCTGCTCATTGGCTGTCAAGGAAATGGGATCATGGCAAGAATGTGGATGTAAATTTTATTTTGACTTTTTCTTTTGTGTGTATGTGTTTCAGTTGAAATGTGAAATGTTAGTCTTTTTTTTTTTTTTAATACAATGTTATTTCCATTTTAATTTGCGATTTGTTATCAAATTTTGACAAGCAGGAGCCAGTTTCATATGGTATGCTGCTGTGATTTCTCTAAATACTAGTTTAATATTAAGCATTATTGCCTTCAATGTTTGATTCCAGAGGTTGATGCTTGTTCAGACTGCTGAAGCATTTTGAATTAATAACAGCTGGTTAGCACTTAACAAGCTCCAACGTTTTTATTTTGTGCATCTCGGTGAGTGAAGATAATTGTTTACAGCATTATGTTTGGACATCCCTTTGTTTTTTTTTTTTGTTTATCCTCTTGTCACATGAACATCTTGGTACAATTTGAAAACTCTTTTTATTTCTTTTTAATGTGTTATACACATTTGTGCTGCTTATGGATATGATTGCCTTTCTTGTATTTAACAATGGGGAAATAGAATGTCACCAATGTAGATGTATGTACACGTAACGACTTTGGTTGTCATCTTGGGAGAGCAAAGCAGATTTGCAATTTGTTAACAAGTGTAGTCAGTTAAAAGAGAATTAGTAGCGATTAGTAAACCCTCTGTAGAATTACCGGTTCACTCCAGTTTACATTGGTTGTCAACTGTCAACTTTCCAAAGTAGATGGTCTTTTTGTATTTTTCTTTTGGAAAAAAAAAAAAAATCAACAGTGATTTATTGCACATTTTGGATACAGTTCAAGAGGTTTTTGTATCTGCCAATTATAAATTATAAATAAAACTATATTCTAAAAAAAAAAAAAAAACAACTTTGGGGTTTTTTTCCATATTGTGTGTGTTCTCTAAGCATTACTTCTATTGGCTCATGGCTAGATTAAACACCTTGCATGTAGAGTTTGTTCTCTACCATAGTTGGAATCCAGTGATGCACATGATGAGACCTAAATCAGGCTCACAGATGTGTTAATAGGTAAAATCACGGAGGTCTTAAGGAGATTTTTTTTTCTACTCCAGGTACAAATTAGCTGCTAATCCCAAAGCTCTGGCTCTAATTTACAAAGACAATCCGGGCATTCTTTAAATACAACTGAGCAAAGCGGAGGCTCTGGGGGAAAGATTAACAGCGATGCTACCGTTCTTACTTTAACTTCACTTTAAGTCGACTCTGGAGAAACGCCGAGTGAGTTCTTGTGTTGCAGAGGGAGAGGAGTGGAGTGGGGTAATGGTGTCAGGTTTGGACTTGGATCTGCTGAAACATGGTTCGCATGATGATGAGGAGGCAGGCTTTGTTAACTGCTGTGTCTGACGGGCCTCTCCTGGCATCTGAGGTGAAGATACACAACTGTTTACGTTCTCGGCCCGGTTCAAGATGATTTATTCATAACCAACACTGGTGGTCGCATGTCATATAGAGATGCCTCCATCATAAAAGGGCTCATCTCTGCCTTCCACGGTTACTTTTCTTTTTAATTTGCAGCTTTTTCAAATGTTTGTATTGAGAGTTTACCAGGAGAGGGTTTTTACTTTGCTGGGCGAGTGCAACCTGTCATGATGTGACACAGCATCCCAGCATCTCAGCAGTTTTGTCTGCAAATGTGATATTCACCCCGCTCACCTTGCTCCCTCATACCCAGGATGTTGCTTGCTTGCCTAGAACGCCTCATTTTGGGTTTGGTTGTTATAACGAGAAGCTGTCACTTGAAATCTGCTACATGTTTTGTCCCCTTTGTTAAAACTTGGTAACTATTAATGTGCATGACGTGAACTATGCACACTTTGGTCTGGTTTAATTTAATCTGGGCCACGTTTGAGATAATGTACGGCTCATGGGCTAATTGTCATTAGCATAGGTTAATTAACAAGCACATACAGGTCAGTTTATTTTGCATACAGTGTAGTTGGAATATTCAAATTGCTGAGAAGCTCGTAACGTTATCTTATTGATTAGTGAGTAGCTGGTAACATTAGCTTATTAATTAATGAGTATCTGTTATCATTAGCTTGTTAATTAGTCAGTGGCTGTTAGCATTAGCTTATTGGTTAGTGAGTCGCTGGTAACATTAGTTTATTGATTAGTGAGTATCTGTTATCATTAGCATATTGATTAGTGAGTATCTGTTATCATTAGCATATTGATTAGTGAGTATCTGTTATCATTAGCATATTGATTAGTGAATATCTAATATTATTAGCTTGTTAATTAGTCAGTAGCTGATAGCATTAGCATGTCAGCTAACTCCAGGTAGTTGGTAAGGTGGCTGCTGATTTTAAATTGTTAATTAGTCTATAGTTCATAAAATTAGTTGTTTATTAGTCAGTATCCACTAACATTAACTTGTTAATTAGTTAGTTAGTTAGTTACCTGGCTTGGAATATAATCATGTTAATTATGTGCTAGTGATTCTATTGGTGAAACTGAACGTCCTACATTCAGGTAAAACCAAACAAGTCTTTCTGTTTTTACACTTTCTGCCTTTGATTAATGGTGGATATGTGGTGATTTTATTTTTTTAAACATGCTTTTCATAGCTGCTGGCAGGTTTTGGGATAGAAATCTAACTGGTATACATTTACCAGTCTTTAATTAAATTACAGAGCTGCAACGTGTTAAATTAGTGAACTTTAGAGGTGGTGGTATGTGGATTTTGATATTCTTAGTAAACTTTGTAGGTGAAATGTTTTGCTCTTCAGTTGTTAAATCCTCCATGCATTCACTAGCCAGCTGCAAACTGTGTTTAAGTGCATTGTTCTAGCCCACTGTGGCAAAAAACAACTGGTTGGACAGCTCAAAAATGAAAACTTTAGCCAACACAGTTCCTCAAATGACCACTAAAGGTACCTGCAAAAGTGAGTCAACCTCCCATATAGTCCATCCATCCATTACCTATACACCGCTTAATCCTCACTAGGGTCATGGGGGTCTGGAGCCTATCCCAGCCGACTTAGGGTGAAGGCAGGGGACACCCTGGACAGGTCACCAGTCTATCACAGGGCTACACTTACAGACAGACAACCAAGCACACTCACATTCACACCCACAGAAAATCTAGAATCACCAATTAACCTCAACATGTTTTTGGACTTGTGGGAGGAAGCCGGAGAACCCGGAGAGAACCCACGCTGCACGGGGAGAACATGCAAACTCCACGCAGAAAGATTCTGGTGCCTCCACCGGGAGGCGAACCAGCAACCTTCTTGCTGCGAGGCAACAGTGCTACCAACTGCGTCACCCTGCAGCCCCCTCCCATAGTCCCTCGTGTTAAATTGCTCAACTTTACAACTGAAATATATGTGTTTTGGTAACGACAGCTGTACAGGTGGTAAATTATCATGTAGTTTAACTGTTTTATTGTATTAACGCGTCAAGTTTTGCATAATTAAGCGTGTGGCTGCTTTAAATGACAGGTGGGCACCAACAGAGAACAGTCCATGGCCTGACTCAGCTCCACTCTCGCTCCAACTCGCTTATTTTTGGGGGTAGCCTGGACTTAGCAGGCTATTAAGGCTCTGCCAAGATGGCGACAAATGGAGCCACCACATGGAGCTTCCACACTGCTGCTCAGGAAACCAGTGGATGACGTCATGAGGGGTTTGTCAGGAGACATTTTTTGACTTGTTTTTTTGGCGACCGTACCAGTTTGAGAGCGATGGCAGGATCCACTCATGGCTATTCAGGCTGGTGGAACTCGAATGCGTTTTGCGGCATTTGTTTCAGCGCATAATGTCGACACAAAAGTGCTCATTTGTGAGCAAATTTCTTCACAGTGTGGTTCTTAGTTTGAAACTGTTTACTCTGGAGAATCCATCCATCACATGTCTGCCGTCTCAGATTGATGATCCATTCCTGCCATCTGGTGCACTGCGTGGTGCACCCATTTTTCACCTACAAACAGGGATGATGTTGACAGCTTGAATTAGCCAGCAAACATATATATCGCTTTAAATTGTCATGCCAGGAAAACATCGGTGGGTCTAGCTAGTAATGATAAAGCCGAAGTTACCTGCTGGCAACAGATGTCTTTCAGCCCAGAGTGAAAGGTTCAGCTCTATTAATGCTTGTGATCTCATGCCAGCAGTGCCATACACCGCTGAGACCCTCTCCTTCTCCATCTATCATACATTAGATGCCTCTGAACCCCAATTAGCCCTGTTAGAGACGGGACTGCCTTCATCATTAGCAGGTCCCCACTGAAACAGCAGCTCATCGCGGTATTCATTGTGATCATTCTTCACAGTTTCCTATGTATTCGTGGAGAGCATGTTTGTTGAAGTTCAGCTTGGTAGCTACCACTTTGTGTGTTTTACGCTGTTGTGCTGTGTGCCTCCAGATCAAAAACGCCTTTCATCACGGTTCGTTTCCAAAAGAAACACCTCTCCCACACCAAGCAAAGACTGAATTTAACAAACAAAAGTGGTTCAAACTGTGTATATTGAGCCTCGGTTACTCTACTCAGGAAAGAGCAGGAACTCTGAGATTCTTGAGAAGCGAGCGTGGTTAATGACCAGAAAATGGCAGCTCCAGATGGCCCCAGCTCCGGGGTGTCAGCCGAGGAGAAGCTGCCCACTTTGATATTTGATTGATAATCTGTCAAGAAAGTCATCTCTTTTGTGAGGGCCTTTCATGCTTCACATTTTTATATGATTAAAATATGATTTTCTTTCAACTATTACGCAGTTCTTTGTGATATCGTTTTACAGCAGCAGCGGATGTAAATTAGCTACCAGCGTTACCTATAAACTACTACCTTTCAGAAATACATCTTTATAATTACAAATGGCATAGGCACACAAGAGCTGAATAATAATAAGCCGGAATTGTGTGTGTTTATATGCATATGTGCTTGTGCCGAGTACATAGCTTCCAGCACAGACTTGAAGGCCAAGGGGAGTCATAAGACGGCCATAATTATGTCATTAAAAAGAGTGACATCTGGAACTTGGGGGCCATCGAGCAACACAGAGTACCCACCTTCTTCCCTCCTTTGCCCCCCTGTGACACTGACAATCCACTCTCATTCCCTCCAACAATCTGCCCATCCTTCACGCGGGACCTCGGTGTGTGCGTGTGGATGTGGCGTGATGGTGCGGAGGGGGTTGGGATGGGTGGAGGGGACCGGGTGGGGAGTGAACAGGTGGCAGCCATCAGGAAATGGATGGGGAATGTTTTGAATGGGAAACTTGCCTCCATTCCTCACGGAGTACCTGGGTGTCTGCCCTTCACCAGTGGTCCAAGAGGCACAGCGAGGATGGGAGAGATGAAATGAGAACAGGTGGTGGTTTGTCGTTTAACGAGGAATGGAGTTCCCCTGTAGGTCTGCGGATGAACAGCCAATGGAAGGGTATGGACGACGCCTTCACAACAGGATCCCTACCCTACTGTTCGTGGGTCTCGGCGGTCCTCGCGCCGCATCTGAAACAAGAGAGCCTTACAGTTAAAGCTCGACACGTGTACGACGCTGGTTTAAATGAGTTTGGCGCTTGCAAACAGCAAATTTACCCAGCACAAAAAAAAAAAGAGAAGAAAAAAAGTGCACCGCCAGAAGAAAATGAACAATGTGTAATTAATGACATACCTGCTTCCAATCTGTTTTTGGTCAAGGGCCAGACTGCTATCATTTTGTACTTTGATTGAATTGCAGTCACACCCCCCACTCTTTGAACTGCCACTGTCCCACAAGTGCTTCGTGCTCCCTCGACTGAGATGCTGCATGGCAATTAACAGCTCCCCCTCCTCTAAGTGTGCATTACTCAGCAGGGCCCCGCCCTCCTCTGCAGCCATATCCTCATAATATTCTACCCCCATCTT